GGGGGTTCGGCCCCGGGGCTGGGGTCTGGGGGCCGTACCGGCTCTCCAGCCCGTCGATGTACTCCTTCTTCTTCTTGCGGCTCTCCTGAGCCGACTGCTTGTTCCTGATCTTCCGCCGGATCTTCTTCAGTACCCGCTCCTCATACTGGGGAAACTGGGGGGGTCAGGGCCGCCGGCGCTGGGACCCCCCCAAGTCTGCGCCCTTCCTGGGCACAGTGGGACCCACCTTGGTGAGGGGCAGCTGCGTGGGCAGGGACACCCCCTCCTTCGCCAGCAGCTTCTTCTCGTCCTCGGTCAGCACCCGCTCCTGGAAGTGGCCCTGGCTCTGCCTCAGCAGGGAGCCAGGCACCTGCGGCTGCTGCGGGGCCGCGGGTGGGGGACAGCGGTGGGGTCACCCCAGGCACCACAGCGGGGACCACGGGGTGGGGATGAGGATGGGATCGTGGTCCAGGATGGGACCGTGGTGCGGGAAATGTGGGGATGGGGAGGGGTGGGGAGTGGATCCTGGTCTGGGACGGGGAGGGAAAGGGAAGGGACCGTGGTCCAGGGAAGGGGACGGGGAGGTACGGGCAAAGGGACAAGGATGGGACTGTGCTTCAGGGTGAGGATGGGATCGTGGTCCAGAAGGGATGAGGATGAGGATGGGGATGAGGATGCAATCATGGTCCGGAAAGGACAGGGGTGAGGATGGGGACGGGGTCATGGTCCAGGAGGGGACAAGGCTGGGGCTACAGAGCGATGGGGACACAGGGGTGGGACTCACGGCATCAGAGCTGCCCGAGAGCAGCAGGTCCTTGACGGTGAGGGTGCAGGACGCGGGCGGGGGGACCACGGGCAGGTCCTGGCTCTCCTCCAGGAAGAAGCCGGGGTGCCACATGTCTGAGTGAGGGGAGAGCGGGGTCTGTCAGCAGTCTGCGTCCCCTTCAATCCCCAGTGTCCCCAGGGCAGGACCCCCCCCCCTGCCACGGCCCCAGCGCTGCGGTGACTTGGTGCCACCTACCAGGCCAGTGGCTCCGGACTCTGTCCCCCCAGACTGTCCCTCTGATCCTGCTCCAGCCCCCCTGAATACCCTGCACTGCTCAGCTCAGCACCCCCAGCCCCCCCAAACC